AATGCCATCTGAGGTTGCATCTAAGATTGGCATGTGACCTAATGTGTGACAGATTTATAACAATGGTATTACTGTATTAGGAAATGGTGAAAGGTAGGAAGATAACCTGTTGGAGGAGTTAGGTCACTGAAGGCATATCCTTGAGGCTATATAGACCCATGACTCTCTCCTTCCATATGCCTTTACACGCAGAAGCCCAAGAAACCATGAACAAAAGCCTCTTTTTTAAGTTTTTAAATTTAGGAACAATCATTTTACATATCAATCCCCCTGTTCCCTCTCCGTCCCATCCTCCCATGCCCCCTACCAACCCTCCAACCTACTCCCCAAGGATAGTGAGTCTGTCACATCATTTAGGGGAGGGTCTAGGCCCTCCTCCGTGTATCTGGCCTGAAAAAGTACCCCCTCCATAGGAAATGGGCTCCCAAAGTCCATTTATGCACTAGGGATAAATACTGGTTCCAGTGTTAGAGGTTCCATGGACTGCCCAGGCCTCCTAACTGGCACCCACACTCAGAGGGCTTGGTTTGATCCAACGCTGGTTCCCCAGCTTTAGGACTGGGTACAGAAACCTCTTAAACCATGAGCCAAAATATATCCCTTCATGTTAAAGTTATTTCTGTCAGGTATTTGGTAATGGAGGTATAATCGCTAGTGAGAAGAGGAAGCACAACCACTGAGTGATTATCTGACAACATTGGCAGGTTTAACTTTGGGGGGGGAGTGGAGGGGTCACTGTAGTTCAGATTGGCCTGGAACTATGTGTAGCCCAGCCTTGTCTAAAGCTCTTGGTGATCACTCTGTTTCAGCTTCCAAGATCTGGAATTACAATTTGAGCTATCATAACCAGAAACAACATGGTTCTTAAGTCTTTATGTTTTTTTGTAGGAGAAATCTGTAAGAGTTTGGAGTAGTCTAGAAAAAGCCTAGAATGTTATGTCATTCTATTGTGAACTCTGAAGCCCAGAAGACAGTAGAAATGCAGACAGGGAACACTGCTCTAGAGGCCTCTGGCATTTACAGAAATTTCAAATACTACATTATGTATCACACTAGAGACCACTCATGTTACATTCTAGCTAAGAATCTGTCTATATTTTGCCCACATCCTGAGACTTTCTAAAGTGCTAAGTTTAAAGGTAATGGACTAATGAATTCAGCAGAGAACATTCAAGACAGCTTAGTGTTCAGGCTATGCTATAGTCAGGACTGGAGGCTTTTCAGACATTTACAGTGAGAACTGGGAGCCAAAAGCAGGGGAGAAAGATTTGTGAAGCAGGCAGTCTGACCAGAAGAGCAGCAAGTTAATGTCTGTGGCATAGAATGGTGTGGTTTTTAAGGAGGTATGTATCTACAGATCTTTATGTTAAGCAAAATAAACTAAACTCAGAAAGACAAAAGCACCATACCTTCAATCGTACATGGAATCTATATTTGAATTCATCTACACATGTTTACACATTTTTGAAGGGCATACAAATAGAAGAGGGACTAAGTTTGGGGAGAAAGAGGTTTAAAAGGAAGAGGGTTTGAACATTGGGGTAAATAATAGACTACATAAGATGAAAGCAGGAGGGACTATTTGGGGGAGAGGAAGGAGACCAATAGGAGCAGCATAGAAGGGCAATAAAGGGATTTAATAAGAATAAACTATAGTGATTTATATGTATGAAAATGTCACATTAAAATTACTACTTGGTAGGTCAACTAAAAATTTACTTCTTAGGATAGAAAACTTGGTATTGTGATATGTTTATAATTTCAACACTTGTATGTTTTTGAAACAGGGTGTCAAAATTCATGGTTACATAGTGAGGCCACCCTGGTCCATATGAGGCCCTGCCCTGATTTCTCTCTCCTCTCCTCTCCTCTCCTCTCCTCTCCTCTCCTCTCCTCTCCTCTCCTCTCCTCTCCTGTCCTCTCCTCTCCTCCCCTCCCCTCTTCTCCCCTCCCCTCCCCTCTTCTCCCCTCCCCTCCTCTCTTCTCTTTCTTCTCTCTCTCCCTTTCTTCCCCCTCTCTCTGTTTTTCCATATAGGGATTTATATGTGTAGTCCTAGCTATTCTGGAACTTGCTCTGTAGACCAAGTTGCCCTTGAACTCAGAGATTCACCTGCCTCTGCCTCCTAAGTACTGGGATTAAAGGAATGTGCCACCACTGCCTGGTAAGACCATATCAAAAAAAGCAAAACTACAAACAAAATGAGAAGAGATCTTCCAATTTGCACTGGGATAGTGAAAGATGCCTTCAGGGGATTTCAGGAATTGGTCAACTCTATCCATCATGGACTCAGGTATAAAACTGTAAACCCATTTGACTGTCTCTTGAGATCACTGCAGAGCCACAAGGTATGGGCATCTATAAAAATACTTTTTCTGAGGTCCAGCTACCCAGAAACTGAGGGTAATGCTGCTATGACCCAAAGGGTCTGGATCTGGGCAAACGAACTTGGCATTGTCCATATGATGTTAGTTTTGTAGGCTCACAGGATGCAAGGGCAATGCATTCATCAAGGATTCCACCAAGATTTCAAAGGAAAGCCTCAGAGCAGAGAGGTGATAAAAGAAGCTGTTAATGTGAACCTCAAGATACAATGGGGACCCCAGAGTGCTGGAGATGCTAGAAATATGGAATATTTGCTAAAAAACGCTACACTGACTGGAACCAACCCAAGAAAGAGGCATGTAGACTACAAAAGGCTGCCCAAGCCTGGCTATGCACCCCAGATGGATATGAAAGTACAAGCTTTAGTACTTTCTAAGATGAATTTTGGTTTTTCTTTGGTCTAATCCAATCGCATAATTCTCTGTATAGGTCTCTGTGTACAATTCAGAGTTATGCAGCTACATCTACGTGGTTAGTATATAAAGAGATGAGACTTGGGAAGTATACCTTGGAATCCTTCCCCTATTCAACCCTTTGCAACAGCAATATTTATTGTACCTTTGAATGTTGGAAGATGTAACTTGTTTTTATATGGACTCATAGCTAAACTTGAAGAAGAAACTTGAATTTAAGTCTTTGAGGTGACTGGAGAGATAGCTCAGCTGGTAACAGTGAGAACTGCTCTTGAGGACCTAAGTTTGATTCCTAGAATCCAGGAGATCCACATGATTTTTGAGACTCCTCGGACACCTGCATTCACATGTTCAGACTCACACATGCACATACACATGGACATAATTTTAAAAATATTAATAAATTTTGAACTTGCCAGGCAGTGCTAGGGCATGCCCTCAGTCCCAGCACTCAGGAGACAGAGGCAGGCAGATATCTGTGAGTTCGAGGCCAGCCTGGTTTACAAGAGCTAGTTCCAGGACCTCTTCTGAAGCCACAGACAAACAAACAATCTTGAACTTAAAGCATACTTTGGAATTGTTACAGAATTTGGGGACTCTTGGGAGTAGACTAAACACTTAGCATTATGAGGGGGCCCAAGGACAGAATGTATTATTTGAATACAAAATGCTCTCTACAGGTTCACATTTTGAGTGCATGTTCTCTAGATGGGGATGCTACTTTAGAAGAGTCATGAAACTATAGGAGGGACCTAAGCTGGGGATAAGCCTTTATGAGTATATTATTCCTGGCCTCTTCTTGCCTTGTTCTCTGCTTCTTGTCTGACATTAAGTGAAGAATTTCTTCTGCCAAATGTTACCACCACAATATCCTGCTCAAGTGACTATGAACTAATTCCCCTGAAACTATGTGCTAGAAGAAATAATCCCTTCCTTTTTTTTTTATTGGGCATGTCCATCATAGCAACAGAAAACTAACAACTATCACAGTATTTGCATTTCAATACTGTACTTTGTGAAGATTTGGTTACTCAGATGTTGCCATGAAATTGGGTGTGTGCAACATATTTACAATGATATCTTTGTGTACAATCTTGAGATTCTGAATGCATAATAATGCAGTATACATGCATAAGTTTTTTTATGCAACTCAGATTCATACAGCTGTTTCTAAATGGCTAGTATGCATGGAGAAGAGTTTTACTTCTGCCTCTTACTCTGTAACTTTAGGCTGTTCTTTTTCTTTAAACTTTTTTTTTCTTACTTTATGTGTATGAGTATGCCTGTGTGTATGTATGAATACCATGTGTGCTTCATACTGGAGGAGGTCAGAAGAAGGCATTGGATCCCCTGGAACTGGAATTATAGCCATAATGTGGGTGTTGGGAATTGAATCTGGGTCCTCTGCATTAGCACCCGGCCCCTATTTCCTGTTTTTTGTGGAACCCTAAATATATTAAAGATAAAATGTACCTTCATTAACAGTATCCAAATGTGGCTGCTCTGTTGCAAACAAAGCCACCTAGTGGAATGTTACTTGTATATGGAATTGTGGTTACAGTGTTTTCTGCTGGCTGCCATGAAAACAGCAGAATCTGATACATTTATTGTCACTAAATAAATTAAACATCAAAGCCTCCGAGTTTGACAATAATTTCCCTGAGAAGTCAAATCTCTTTCCCAGTTCATTTTATAGAACTGTTTCTAGTGGTAAGCTTTGATTATCATGCTTAATACGAAAGAACCCCCCCCCCCATTTTGTTGTACAGAATGCTTTGAGTCTTCAAATATGATAAATTTGTTTCTTCTTCAACAAACATATTGTATTACTGCTTCTTGATTCTTAACCTATAGTTTTATTTTACAGGAAGAGAAAGAATGTTGACCCAAATAGAAGGAAAATGCTTTCAATGCTTTTAGTTTAGGTGAGTTTTAAGCACCTGTTAAAGTTGCTAGTAAAAATAAGGAGGCTGTTTATGTAATGGTTCCACTCTGTTATGTAGGTCTTCCCAACCTAGATAAAAAAAAAAAAAAAAAAAAAAAAAAAAAAAAAAAAAAGCAGCTCAAGTCCCACCTTTTGCAGTGAACAGCTGATTCTGTTTTCTCTTCTTAGCCAATGGTGATCAGATATTTCAGAAGGAAACTGGGTGAGTCATCTTCTGCAGATAAGCTGAAATATTAATAGATCTATCTCCATTAGGCTCTCCTGCAGATAACAGGACTCCCAGAGTCCTGCTGGAGAAGTGGTTCCCAGCAAGCCAGCCTGCAAAGCGGGTTGGGTTTGAAAGATTCTGAAACCAATTAAATTAGAGTATACTTGATCTTGCATTTTAATAGATTGTTTTCCTTTCCAGTTCTTGGGTTTGCGCAAGTTTTTAGGACAGATGGACTTAAAACCTGCTTGACCGTGGACCCCTCGCCGGAACACCTGCAGTGGTGAGTACCCACAGCCCAGGATGCTGCGTGTGCTTTCCCCAAGTTACCGACTCTCCGGCAAGGATCGTTTTTGCATTGTGTTTGCAGGGTGCAGGATTTGGGGTTTAGCAGTGCCAGTGAGTGGCATCTTGGGGAATCTCCGGACAGGGGAAATGCTGGGCGTGCTTACGCCACCAGGGGGAGTTATACTAGTTTTCCCGCAGTCACTCGCTGGGTCTTGACTCTGCGCACAGATAGGCCATATTGGAAGCTGCCAGGAACCCATGCCAAAGCCCCAAGCCGAAAGAGGAGACTAGCCGGGCGCAACGAGCCCTTGGGACTGTGCGAAGGAAACCAGGAAAGAACTTCCGTAGCTCTCGGTCGTAGGGCGTAGCTTCCGGTCTGTGGGTTGTGGAGTGCATCTGGGGGAGGGACTTCCGCACTTACCGGAAGTGCGGACCCGCCAGTTCGGGTCGCCGGGTCGTGTCAGTGCGGGAGTTGGCCGATTATCTACGCTGCTCTGAGTCGGTCCTGGGAGCTGCTTGGGGACCCACGAGTCTAGTGCAGGCCGGGCTAGCTCCGGGAGGAGGCGAGTGCTGCTGCTGTGACAGGTGACGCCATCTTCCCAGCTGTCTGGCTTGGCGTCCTTCCCGGGTGCCCGGAGGAGGTGAGGTGTCGGGGTTGCGGTTGGGACGAGCTGGTCAAGGCTTAGAGGTGGACAAGGGATCGGTCCTAACCCTGCGCGCCCCCTCTGGCTTCCTCTGTCTCCAAGTGGTGCCTGTCTGGCTGCTTGTGCCCTGGGAGAAGAAACCCTTGGAAGGTTTTTCGAAGATGGTGACCTTCGATCCCGCAAAGACGGGGGTATGGCCTCTGGGAAGGAGGAAGAGCTGGGGGCGGAAAGTGAGGGGTGAGCAGTTGCTAAAGTGGTAGACCCCCCGCCCCGCCTTTGTTTCCCTTTCTGAAGACTTCTCCTTTTCTTTCTCCTGTACACTGCCACCTCCGAAGATGGACATCTTATCAGGCTCGTTTTACCAAAAAGTTGCACAGATACGCGATCCCAGTTTGTGAGCCGACATGACGAAACCATTGATCAGGATCTTAAGAGGTTTTATTATCCCACTTGAACTCAAGGACGTTCCTTCAGTTTGCAGACCAGATCCGTTATCTCTACTGTCTTGCACGAATGTAGATTGCTGGGCAGTTTCTTTGAAGTTCAGATGGGTTTCCTTTAAATTGATTAGTTTGGCCTACGAATTTGCCTCCAAAGCATTATTGAAACGGTTTACCTCTAAGTAATACAGCTTAAGGTATATGCTTCCAGAATACTTTTCCTGTTTCTAAGAAATAATCAGTTATGCTACTTCCTTGCTGTTTTGGCTACTTTGCTGATCAAATTGGAGTGTTTGTAAATTCCTTTTGACATCTAATCCCTATATTTGAGCATGGTGTATAAATATGGTCTGACCTAAGTGGAATAGAGCCCTTATATTAGCGTTGCCCATGGGAGACAGTGGCACAGTGGTCAGTAGCCAGTGACATGTAATAACAGTGGGACTTTAGTGTTATGTCAGCCGCATTTTTGCTGTTGGAAGGTTGTCTGTATCAAGCTTTCTTACAAAAATTTCTGGACACAAGACTTTACTAAGTGTGTTTCCTTCCTGTTCTCTTACCCTGTGTTGATTTTTTTTTTTTTTTTTTTTTTTTTTTGTATAGGTATGTTGATCTATTAACTCACTTTGCCCTTGGCTTTAGCTAAAATCCTTGTGATTGGGTATTTTCCCCCAGCAGTTTATTCTTACTCCCCCTGAGAGTTTGTCAGTTACCCTGTCCTGATTTCTCTAAGATATGTAAGACAAGGTTTCTCTGTGTAGCTTTGTAGATCAGTCTGGCCTGGAACTCAGAGAGATTTGCCTGACTCTGCCTCCCAAGTGTTGGGATTAAAGGCATGTACCACCACCACCCGACAGGAAAAAAATATTTTTATTTGTACTAAATTTCATTCTCGGTTTGAGTTTCTTTTTTCAGTTACTAAGATTAAAAAAAAAATCTGTGGTAGCTTATTTAATTAATGATACATGTCAGTTCAGTGGCATTCTTAGAATTTATTAAGTATGCATCCTATGCCTTCATCTCATCAGTGACAGAACATTTTAAGCAACTTAGTGCTGGTGAAGGTTTCCAAGGTTGCTTGTAAGAGACCATTCTTTCCTCTGATACTGGCTAGACATTACATTGGTGTTTCAACCCTCTAGGAATTAATCTAAAAGTATTATTATAATAAAATATTCCGGGTATTCAGTGACATTTTATACTACCACCTACAAATTGTATAACCATTCCTTTACATATAATTGATATTTTTTAATTAAACCAACTATTTATTTTGAAATAAGGCAGGTAGGTATCTTTTATCTTAGAAGAAAAATAAAATACTTCTTGCAAGGTATAAATTGGAGAGCTATGTTTATATTATTTAAAGTAAAAGCATGAATGAAGTATTTGTTGCACTGCTTTTAAAAAGGCGAAAGATTTATATGATCTGAAGAGAAACCAGAATATGTTATACTGATTTTAAAAGCTACTTCAATAAGTTCTTGTTTTGTTTCTATGACTTAATAAAAATCTGATAATGTAGGTAGTAACAATTTAATACTGAACATAAATACTAAAAAAAAAAAAAAAAAACCTTTTGAAAAGAGAAAACTTAAGTGTTTATTGATGCTGTTTAATGTTATACCATTTGCCAAGGTGGTGAATTCAGTACATTAGTAGTGTTTGAGAGGTTTTATTCATTTGTTAAACATGTTGCACTAAAGTTGGACAGTATAATTCTGCTTTGCTTGGAAAATAGCAGAGAAGAGAATACGCCTGTGACAGCATGTAATAAGGACAAATGTGTATCAGACCATAATCAGTTAAGAGCTATTGTAGCTTTCCATTTAATGTGCTGATCTGTCCTGTTGAATTGAGTAGATGTGTTTTGAAAGAAAGTAATTATGTTTTGGAGCTTCAGATTTCATATAGGTGAACTAGTACATAGTAAAAGTAACTTTTTAAGATCATTTGTGTGTGTGTGTGTGTGTGTGTGTGTGAGAGAGAGAGAGAGAGAGAGAGAGAGAGAGAGAGATATGCTGGTGATGAAATCCAATGCTACTAACTCATACTTAGCAATCTCCTTCCCATCAAACTACATATATCCTGTCCCAGACCCTTTTCTTTTTTCTTTTGAGATAGAGTCCCTCTCTATATAGCTCTGGCTGTCCTGGGGCCCTCTATGTAGACTAGAATGACCTTGAACTTGAACTCAGAGATGCACCTACCTTTACTCAATTCCTTCTTCCCCATAGTGCTGGTATTAAAGGCATTCACCACTACGCCCAGGTAGGCCTGTCTTATTTTCAGAATGAAACAGTTTTCTTTCTCTTTTCAGTTGTCTAATTAATATACTGTTTCATTTGTAAAGTACTGTCTGTCATACTACTTGTTGAATTTGAAAACTCTACCTCAAAGTGATTTTGTGTGAGAATCAGTGCCTCTCTCTGCATTTATGGATTCGTTTAAGTCTCATAAGCAACCTTTGTAGTAGTTTTTCAACCTCAGACCTGTCACCATTGACTTTCCATTCTTTCTGTTTTCACTTGTCTAGCTTGGGTTCTGTGTATATCATTTTAATATTTCTCTTACAAGTGTTTTTGACCTCATTGTCCTTCTTGCTGGGATACCAGCCCCCAAATCTCTGAATTATTTGGTAAATTAAACATTTAATTAATTGTATCTGCATGAGTACATGTCATGTGAGTGCAGTGGCCCCAGAAGCTAGAAGAGGAAATTAGGTCCTCTACAGTCATGGAGTCTACATGACTAGCACTGAAGTTTCAGGTGGTGGTGAGTTGTCTGACTGTTTCTGCAGTGAACTTGGGTCCTCTGGTAGAGCAGCCCATGCTGCTTAACCCCAGAACCATCTTTTTATTCTTTTAAGACAGGGTTTCACATAACCCAGGGTAGCCTTGAACTCATTATTCAGCTAAGGCTGACTTTGAACTTTGGTCCCCCTGCCTCTACCTCTCTAATTACTTTTTTGTCAATACCAGTACATGGTTTGGAATGAAGATAGTGTCTGTAGCCTTTAGATACTTTAAAGTTTTGATGTTTCTTATCTCTGAGGCCAAATTTCGAAGACAAAGCAGCTGAAGCAAGGAAGGGTTTATTTGGTTCACAGTTGAGAGGAATGCAACCTATCAAGGCATGTTGTCTGAAGTGCTGCAGCAGAGGGCCAGTCAGGAAGCACAGAAAGGGTGGTGCTTTGCTAGCTTTCTCTTTCCTTGTATTCAGTCTTGGCCCCCAGCCCATGGGGTGATGATATACAGAACTAAGAGTGTGTCCTTATCCCTGCTCTTTAATACACTCAGATGTGTCTTCTTAATGCCTCAAGTATTTTCCTTCTTTCCTTCCTTCCTTCCTTCCTTCCTTCCTTCCTTCCTTCCTTCCTCTTTTCTCTTTTTCTTTTTTTTTTTTTTTTCTTTTGTTTTTTCGAGACAGGGTTTCTCTGTGTAGCTTTGGAGCCTATCCTGGCACTTGCTCCGTAGACCAATCTGGCCTCAAACTTACAGAGATCCGCCTGCCTCTGCCTCCTGAGTGCTGGGATTAAAAGCGTGTGCCACCACTGCCCTGTTCCCAAGTATTTCTTAACTCAGGTTAACAGGCACAGGACTGTAGAGTGCAGGGGGGAAAATAGAGGCTATAATACACAGGGAAAAATAAAAATGAAAACGGTGTCACATGACAACAGACTACAGCTTCTGAGTGGGGCTGGTAGTACTTCTGGTGTAGGAGCTACAATTACAGAGACCAAGATTAAAGTTGTGGGTGTTGTAGACATTTCTGGTGGGTCCAGTTGTGATTCTTGCATTCATAGTACCATTTTGTTTAACCTGAGGGCTAGCTTTACTAAGTACAGTCTACTTCTCAGACTATTAACCTTACATCAAAGATGCTATGAATGTCATCTGGAAAAGAAGCACCTGACAAATTATTGGATTTCAGCAGTGACTCATTTGCTCAAGAAAACTAAAACCATTATTGCTTGTGATACTTAGAATGATAGCCAACAACATATCTCAGTTACAGAAAATATGAGACAGTAATTGGAAATAAACTGTGTACATACTTTGTCAAAGAGCTGCACACAGGCTGGGCAGTGGTGGCGCATGCCTTTAATCCTAGCACTTGGAAGGCAAGTAAATCTCAGTGAGTTCAAGGCCAGTCTACAAAGCGAGTTCCAGGACAGTCAGGGCTGTTACATAGAGAAATCCTGTTTCCAAAAACCAAAAAAGAAAGAAAGAAAGAAAGAAAGAAAGAAAGAAAGAAAGAAAGAAAGGAAAGAAGGAAAGGAGAAAGGAAGGAAGGAAGAAAGAAAAAGCTGCACACAGAATGCTAAAATGAATCGATTTTGTTGTCTCCTTTAATTGGATAGGTGAAAAATAAGGTTCTTGAGTGTGAGCTTGCTAATTCTGACTGTGGATTTAGAGCTACTGCAGCAGTAGTTAAACGGAGTCAGCCAGTTTTCTTGAAAAATAAGTGAAGAATTTTTGTTGGATATTTGACTACATGGTGGAAACTAGTTTCATTTCTGTCTACCATTTTGTCAGCTATTTCTAAATCTTCACAAATAGGAGTTGTAGGTAGAAATCCTAAATTCAGGATTCTTGTAGAAGCAAAGTTTGGTTGATACCTTCTTGTTCTAGTAGAGAGACTAGATAATGTCATTAGTTTACCAAATCCAGGATGTCACATGCCTGTGTATTTGCTAATAATATACCAACATTATAGAGGTCCCTGGAATGATAAAAGGATCTTTCCTACTCTTCTCACTGCTGATGAGGTTAGAACTCCAGAAATAAAAGCACTGCTTTTGGGGGAAAAAAGAGGAGGGGAGAGTCTAAGACATTATTAAAATTAATTTCTCATCTGGAAAAAATGAAGTACAGTCAGGAACACTGGACATTATACATAAAACTAAGTAAGACTGAAAGATGAGGGAAGGTAAGTAAACTGGTTAGGTCCTTTGAGATCTGAAAAGTGACATGTCATTTAGTTTTTTTTTTTTTTCCATTATATATTTCTAACTTGATGCCATAGAAGCTCACAACCAAGGAACAACAAAAGGCTCAGGGCAAAAAGTAGAGAAAGAAAGAAAGGAAGGAAGAAAAAGGAAGAAAGGAAGGAAGGAAGAAAATAGATCTGTGTCTACAACAAAGGAAACAAGATGTCTTTCTCTGTATACTTGGCATCAGAGAAGGCTGGGTGAAGATCTGGGGTTTGTTTTTATGCTTACTCTTTTTTCCTACTTAGGTGGTATCAGAAAAGACAGCACAGATTCAAGAAGAGGCAGACTGGAAAGATGGCTCAGCAGTTAAGAGTTCATGTTGCTCTTCCAGAGGACCATGGTTTGATCTCTAGAAGCCACATTGTGGCTCACAACCATCTATAACTCCAGTTCCAGGGCATCTGATGCCCTTTTCTAGCCTCTGTAGGTACCAGGCATGCCTGTGGCACTCAGATATAAATTCAGACAAAACACCCATAAGCATGAAACCAAAGTAGCTACCCCTTTATAGTGGCAAGGAAAATGGGGAACAGTAATGAACACTCCAATTCTTCAGCTATGATGATCTGAGTGGGGCTAAAGAAGAGGCTGAACTGTTGTGCTACCTCTCAGTAGAAACTAAGAATCTTCCTCATGTGATAGCATATGAATAGGGAACCTTAACTGAATCTCTGCCTTCCTTATTCATCTGGCAGTAGCTAAGCAATACTCCTGTTTGCCAAACAGTTTTAGGAAAGCCATGCTGTAACAGAAACCAAGACTGATAGTATCTTGTCCAAAAGGTCAAGGTTTCAATTAAAAATCAATTGACATCTGAAGAACTATGAAAATCTCAATTCAGACGATAGAAATTAAAAATAATGAGTGCTAGCACAAATATGACACTGATACTAGATTTGGCAAAAATTTTAAATTCACCATCATAAAACTGTTTTAAGATCCAGAAATAAAATCATGCAACTACAGGCATCTGATTTTTGACAGGTGTCAAAAACATTTGTGCTGGGAAAACTGTGTATTCACATGTAGAAGATTGAAATTAGAATCATTTACTCTGTTCATAATCGACTCAAAATGGATCATAGATCTTCATGAAAAATAGGAAATTTGAAATTGCTAGAGGAAAACACTTCAAGATACAGTCATAGTCAAGAGCTTTCTGATCAGGACTTGAATATCAAGAAACAATATCAAGAATTGATAGATGGGGTCACAGCAATTAAAAAGCTGTTCCTAGTGAAAAAAAAAAAAAAAAAAACATACACTAAAGTGAAGAGACAATCTAGAACAAGAGGATTTTTTTTTCTACCTAATCATCTAACAAGGGATTGATATTTAGAATATAGAGGATTTAAAAACTTAAATACCCAAACAAATAACACAGTAAGTAAGGTAATGAATTGAACAAATACTTTTCAAATGAAGAAATACAAATGGCTAATGTTTAGCATCTTTACCCATCAGAGAACTGAAAATCCAAATTGAGTTTTTGTTTCACACAGTCAGAATGCCTATGATCCTAGTTGGCTTTCTGTTGCTGTGATAAACATCATGGCCAAAAGCAAATCAGGGGAAAAAAGGTATATTTGATTTTTATAGCTTCAAGTCTGTTCCAAAGCAGGGACTAAAGGTAAGAAACTAGAGCAGAAGCAGAGATCATGGAGGGAGGATTGATGTTTACTGGCTTACTCCTCATGGATTGCTTAGCTTGCTTTCTTATATAAGTCAGGGTGGTATGTCTCACAGTGGGCTGGATCCTCCTACATCAATCATTAATCAAGACAGCACCCCCATAGACTTGCCTTCAGGCATTTTCTCAGTGTAGAGTTCTTTCCATATATGTCTAGATTTGTGTCAAGTTGTGTCAGCCAGTACACTTATTATCAACAGAAAATAAAACAAACAAGACAAATCAAACCCCAAATGTCGAGGATATAAGAAAGAGGGGAAAGGGGGGGGGGTCTGCATCCTTTTTTTTTTTTTTTTAATGTGGGTTCAAGGGATCAAGTTGTAGTAATGTTCCCTGCCAACCATCTCCCTTCCCTCAATGTAAAATTCTAAATGTGCTAGGTAATCTATAAGAAAGCAGAGAAAATAAGTGGACAGAGGGAGAATGAATGTCCATGGATGTCAGTATTATTTGTACTTGAAAATAATCAATATAATTAAACCTTGTTAAGTCAACAAAGAAAATCTATGCCCACATATTAATTGATGCAGAAAAAGCATGACAGCTTAGAACAAGCTGGTAGAAAATGCATGAGAAAGAAATGTTGTCTACTTGGTATTTAACTATAGAAAATCTGTAGTTTTTGCCATTGAAATTGGAAATAAAGGATGCACTAAAATTTCTAGCCAAGTCAATCAAAGTATAAGGCAATAAGTTTTTACCTTGAAGTTGGAAAACAACCAAGGATGTACTACAGTTTCTTGCCAAATCAGTAAAATATGAGGAGATAAGGCTTGCAAATTAAAAAGGAAGAAATTATCTTTGCTTTTTTCAGGTGTAACAGTATATATTACATGGCAAAAATAATCTACAATTTTTCCCTAAAATTTATAAAGAATGTGAGATACAAGATCAATACACAGTAATCTTTTGCATTTTGTATATTAGCAGTTAAAATGTGAAACAACGAAAAATAGTGTTTAAATACTAAAGATATAAAAAAGATATTTTAGTGAAATCAAGAAATACACATTTAGCCACATTCTACATAAGGATTGGCGCTGTTAATCAGTGTCCAGAACTGGTTAATGTGGCGAAATTGAGACACAGGTCATGCTTCCATCACAGTAAATATGTTACAGTGGTGACAATGAGACCTGTAACATTTGCCTGCTATACTGTTGAGTGAAGACATGTTAATTCATTTCACAATATTTGTATAATAAATATTTTAGAAAAAAAAAAAAAAGGAAATACACATTTAATAGTTACCTGGAAACTGATGAAAGAGCAAGTGTTTGATGTCCCAAATTGATAAACAGCTTTGACAATGTTCTTTTTAAAGTTACAGCAAGAATTAAAAAAAAAAAAAAGATAGTTTTATGTGTATGGGTGGTTTGCTTTCTGGTATGTCTGTCTATGCAGTGTGTGTGCTAGGTGCCAAGTGGAGGCCAGAAGAAGGTGTTAGTTCCCCTGGCACTGGAGTTAAAGAAGGTTGTGAGCCACCATGTGGGTGCAGAGAATTGAACTCATGTCCTCAGAAGAGCAGCCAGTGCTCTTAACCATTAAATGAGCTCTCAAGAATTTTCAGGATTAAAAAAAATCTTTTGAAAATTAGGTTAGATCAATAAATTAGAATAGCTAAACCATTTTGAGAAAGATTTAAACAACAGGAAACACTGTAACTGACTTAAGCACTTGAGTTCTAAACTGTATAGCGAGTACTAATCTTATTAAGAGCTTGAATTGAAAGAAATTCTTACCTTGTCTGCTGATTGTTTCAATTTGCTGTATCAGAAATGAAGTACTTCTTTTCCCTGTTATTATTTAGCTTATTGCAGGAGTGACCAGGACACTACCTTCTAGAAGTAATGCCCACAGAAAGCGGAAGTTGTTCGACTGCTCGCCAAGCAAAACAAAAGCGCAAATCTCATAGTCTTTCTATACGAAGAACTAACAGCTCAGAACAAGAGAGAACTGGACTACCGAGAGAGATGTTAGAAGGACAAGTAAGTCAGCGTTGGTCACTGCCAATTTTAAAGGTGGTTGGCATGCTTATAGTATAATTGAAATAGCTAATCCATGTGGGTTTCTAAAGCAGAAGAAAGGCTTACACTATCAAACCTTTAAAAGAACACAGTAAATTCAGCAGAGATAAATACACAGAGATAGAATTAGATTTCTTGATTTATTATGATTTATTATTTTGTGTTTTGAGACAAGGCCTCTTTGTGTAGTCCTAGCCATCCTGGAACTCACCATGTGGATCAGGCTGGTCTTGAACTCATGGAGGTCTACCTGCCTCTGACTACCTAGTGCTGGAATTAAAGGCATGTACCTCCACACCTGGCTAATGTTAATATATCTATAATAATAACAAAAAGACACAGGTATGACAATATGGACTAATTTTATTCGTTGTAGAGATTAGTTGTCTCCAAGAAGTTTAGCACTAGACTTCTAAGAAAGCTTTTCTCTTTTTAATGGTCTCAAGAAAAGGGGAGAATTAAAATTTTGATGCTCATTTTGCTGTCTGAAGTGACTTAAGTTACCTTTGTCTTTGTCTCTACTAATACACAACTGATAACTTTGTTTTGCTTGTAATTTTCTAGTGCCTCTGTAGTTGTCAAATGTTAAGGGGTTTGAAGAGTATTATTGTGAAGTCTAGATAAAGTATGTTTTATTAAAATAATCATATGCAGTATATGCCTATTACATATGCAGTTATACTTTTTGTTGCAGGATGTTTGATCACATTGTGAATCCTAAGATTGTGTTATGTATTGGAAAAATGTGTTTCTAGTTGTGGTGTGGCTCAGCTCTAACACACACCTTTAATCCAAGGGCTTTCTGCTTGAATATTGTAAACAGGATCAAATAAAGTCAGCCATGGGTCAAGAGGCATAGCAAGCAACCAGTTGACAGGAAGTGAACATAGGATTATTAAGAAAAAAACCATAGCGGATAAGAGGGAGTCATGAGGACAGATAGAGAGATGCATAGGAAGGAAAAGGGAGGGACATTGAATTGAATTTGAGAGAAGAAAGAATAGAGCTTCCTGAGACATCAGTGGAGGAGGAAGGTCAACAGGGTTTTTCCTCTGTCTTTCTGAGCTAGCAGGGTTTCACCCCAGCATCTGGCTCTTGAGTTTTTATTGGTGAAATTGAACAATTGAGATTTAGTCAAAACAACTTGTATAACCATTTTCCCCACAATTAGACTGTATCAACCATAGTGCTGTTGGATAAAGAGGCTTGCGTCTGAGAAATTGGCCTTCATGAATGTTGGATCTTACTAGAACTGTGTAAACAGCTTCTTGCAAGTGACTTCTAGTATATAAAGTCTATAGAGGCAGTAGTGTTCAACTAGAAACCCATAGGATTATGGCATGCCACAGAGTAATCAGTCAGTTCATACAGTGTAGATGCTGGGAAAATAATTCTTACATTCTGTTTAGGAAATGATGCTGAGACAGTGGCCACTCTTTCAGTGTAGGTTGGTTTTTATAGGTTTGTTTTTTTTTTTTTTTTTTTTCCCACAGCACATGTATTTTTCCTTTCTGTTGTTTTGAGAGAGGGTCTTGCTATATATAGATTTGGATTTGGATTCCTTCTGGCACAGCTCTTCAAGAACTTGGGTTAGGGCAAGCTGCACCTTATCTAGCTTTTGCCTAGATTGGTTGACTCTACAGGTATAAAACTTGTTAATATAGGGGGCCAACTCTACCCTTGTCTACTTTTAATCTAGTGCTGGATATAAGAAAAGCGTTGACAGTATTTACTTTGCTAGGTGGTTGTAACAAAGTGCCATAAACTATGTGGCTTAGACAACATAAATTATTTTTTTTATAATTCTGGAGGATGAAAGCCAAGATCAAGGTGAGTAAGAACCTCCTAAGGCCTTCCTTGTAGCTTGTGGTTGACTGCTACTTTCTTGCATCATCATGGTCTTTCTTCTTTGCCTGTTTTTCTTAACTCTTGTAAGTTCACTAGTCATACCTAGTTAGGATCACCATCATGACTGCATTGTACTGGTCAATCCAGTAAAGATCTTGACTTATTATAGTCACATTAGGGATATTCAGGTTTGAGACACAGTTCATCCATTTGAAAGAGTAAAACTTTAGCTGTGTGGTAGGATTTCTTTGATGATGGAAATTTTATCACCTTTGATAAAGGTGCCACAAGGTCACTGTAACATTTAGGCAGTTAAACATGATTGGTATAATTTAGTATTTAAAATGTAGATTAAATAAGTACATAATTACATTGACATTTAAATAGTCGTATGTAGCTGGTGGCTACTAATTGGACAGTGTAGGTAAACAATCTAAAATGGTACTTAAGGTTTTTGATTTACTTACTTACATTACCAGCAGTGAAAATTCCACTTTGTTTGCTGGTGTATACTAAATTTGCTCTTAGTGTTGTCTTCCATTGTGATGTAGTATAAGGTGGTAATTGTACCTCACAGGAGGCATTTCAAAGGTCATTCATAGTTCTTTCACCTGAGCAATCTAGACCTGTGTACCACTCTATATATTGGCTCTCAGAGTTTCCCATGTTAGCTAGATTGTTTACTGAAGTTATTTGGAGTGGAACCAACCAGCATGATCTGTGAGTGACTGCTGTGAGTAAAGCCATAAGTGTTTGATGCTGCAGCTGGCATGGTAGGTATAAAGTGGACTGTTGTGGGAAAACAGAGATGTGCTGACTGACTGTCAGTACTCTTGATTTACAGTGGTAATCACTACAGTGTTTAGCAGTGCTCTTTTGGTTATTAGGGAATAGTATCAAAAAGAAGGTGAAGGTTGATTGCCATGATACTATATTAGGTTAATCTTAATTTGTAAGTGTGAAGTTTTTTAGAGAGATGTTAAGATTACCAGTTCTGCTAGATTTATTAAGGTAACATGTATATATTTTAAATAGTTCATAAACTTTATGTGAGAACATGTAATTATTGAAAAATTGTGGAAATGTTCACTGTTTCTTAAAATTTATAGTTCTAAGAAGTTAACCTGAGGTGGAATTTAATAAATATTGTGAGTATGGATACTTTTTAAATTTGCAACTTAACCAGGTCTCAACAGTTGATATTGTTTATAAATGTGAAGTCACTTGAAAATTTTACTGATTTTATTTGAATATTGGAACATTAATATAGACATATTTGAGAATTTTATTTTTGAAAATACTTTTTGTGCTGGGGAAGGGTGGGACATACATACTAATTATGTAGACAGTGTCCTCGTGGAGATTAGAATAGAAAATAGACATATCAAATAGTCTTCTATTTATTATTAGTGTTCAGGAAAAGTAAATTTGTGAACTTATTTGGTGTCTTGGAAGCATTCATACGTTTAACTTGGAAGTATGTTGTAGATGTTACTTCTTGTTGTCTTCACTTTACATTTTAGATAGAGACTGAAGTGGGGGGAAATGTGCAAAGGCATGAAGGATGTGACCTACTTTATGTGTTCACTAAACTGCTAGACATTTTGTTCTTACAGGCAAGATTTCTTTTCCCCCTCTTCATAGTAGTCTTAGTTATAGAGTTATAGGAAGTCTCTAGTTTGTTTTGGTTGAAGCACAATGGATCTAATTAGGTGATTAGGCAGACCTCTCTTTTAGTGTATAGCCCATTGAAATAGTGTTTTTATTTTATTTTATTTTATTTTATTTTATTTTATTTTATTTTATTTTAAGTAGCATGTGGTAGAGCCTAAGGGCTATTTGTAACATAGCTTCATTTTTGGGAATGTATTTGCTTCTCTATGAATTTGGAAATTTTTGAATAAAGTAAGCTCATGTTCCCTCTATGTCATTGCAAAACAGAGCTTTTCCCCCAAAGGGAAAAAGTTTACTCCAAGTCAAACATGTGTGACCAGGGTCCAAGAATACAGATTATGTTCACCTAAATAACCCACTCTAGTGTGGAAGAGGGTACAAGACCTCTTGAGTCATATAACAGAAGAATGACATACATCAGTGCACTGGCCAGATATATTGTTGGAGACATCTGGTAGGCAGATTACAGCGGAGTAGGGGGTTGTCTTTGCTTTGTGTTTAAGACGTTCTGACATTCTTAGCTTTAAGGTTGGTGGATGCTTCAGGTATGCCCAGCTCATTCTGAAAGGTTTAGGTCAGCTACAGAGGTTGATCATAAATGGTTGTTAAAAAGAGCTGAAGGAAGTTCCAGATCATGTGGGTTCTCAGTCTAAAACATTACATATCCACAATAATTATGTTCTGGTTTGTCAGTCAATCTTTACGATTTTTAGCACATATATGGCTTCTTCAGAGAATTGTGTTCACACGTGTAAAAGGGAAAGTTGTTTTATAAAATGTTTGCTCTTAAATCTTGTATTCCTCTAGGAATACATTTTGAGTGTTTCCTTTGTAGAAACTTGAATCTTAAAAAAAATTTGAGTGTTGGGCCTTGAACCCAAGATGCATGCTAAGTACATGCTGTCACTGAGCTACATGCCTAGGTAAACTTTAAATTCTTTAAATCTTCATTTTTATAACCAATAAAATATATGATATTATAAAGAGTTTAAGATAAATGATAATTCACTTTGAAAAAAATATATTATTGCCTAATATTAAAGTGATTATTTCATCCATTTTAAACAAAAATATTTGTCTTGTACAGGATTCCAAACTGCCTTCCTCAGTCCGAAGTACATTGCTGGAACTGTTTGGTCAGATAGAAAGAGAATTTGAAAATCTTTACATCGAAAACTTAGAATGTGAGTATCTCCTATCAGTGTTTTAAAAACATGATTACGTCTACATAGAAATCTTTGAGAATAGTATTGGTGGATTGAGATTCTTCACTATTATTTTCTATTTTGTTGTTAAACATGCTGACTTAAACTTATTATTGGGGCTGGGGAGATGGCTCAGCAGTTAAGAAGGGCCTGTCTGCTCTTACAAAAGTACTGGGTTCAATTCCGAGCACCCACATGACTGTTCACTGTTTGTAATTTCAGTTTCAGGAGATCTGATGCCCTCTTCTGTGGTATATGGACATACACGTGCAGGCAAAATACCAAAACACATAAAAAAGATTATCTGACAGTTCTGTGAGCGTAGCATGATTCTTGCCTCGATGATGTCAAAGGGACAAACATCTTCTGCTTATTGTTTGGTGACAGAATGCAGTCAGTTGTGCTATTAGGAAAGGCCTCTTTATCATTGTCTTTGGCTAATGTGCCTATCTCCTTTGGTGATGTGATGGTTTCTCTTGTTTCCTCTCTGACATGCCTTTCTGTCTACACAGAAAGATCCTGTCTTGAAAAACAAAACAAAACAAAAAAAAAAAAAAAAAAAAAAAAATAGGTATAGCATCTGGTTTTAAGAATTTTTTTCTAAAAAAAGTTATCAGAGTTACAGCAACTGAAATATTTTGGGTGTTGTCACTGTGATTTAAGACATTCACATAACAAAGTACTTGCCTAGTTAAAATAATAAAAATAAAATTTTAAAAATTACTAATGTTTGGAGGTACTTTTAACTCTGTGTTGCCTAGCACTTAGAGGATTTGGTGGCTCCTTGTTACCCATATGATATAGTTCAAATTTCTTTTTTTCTTTTGTTTTTGTTTTAAGATTTATTTATTATATATACAGTGTTTTGGCATTCAGGCATTCCAGAAGAGGACACTAAATGTCATTATAGATGGTTGTGAGCTACCATGTGGGTCCTGGGAATTGAACCCAGGACCTCTGGAAGAGCAGTCAGTGTACAACCTCTGAGCTATCTTTCCAGTCCAGCCCCAATGAATGTTTGTTCTCTTTCTCTTTTTCATTTTCTCTTTCTTTCTTTCTTTCTTTCTTTCTTTCTTTCTTTCTTTCTTTCTTTCTTTCTTTCTTTTTTTGAGACAGGGTTGCTCTGTATTGCTTTGGAGCCTGTACTGGAACTAGCTGTGTAGACCAGGCTTGCCTTGAACTCACAGAGATCCACCTGCCTCTGCCTCCCGAGTGCTGGATTTAAAGGCATGTGCCACCAACGCCCTGCTGAATGCTTTCTTTAATTTCCTTTTTCCCTTTCCCTTCCCTCCTTTCTGCCTCCTCTCCCCTCCTCTCTTCTTTCCTTTTTTTCCCTTTCTTTCTTGAGACAGGTTTTTTTCCTAGCTTTGATGCCTGTCCTGGAACTTGTGTTGTAGTCTAGTCTGGCCTTGAACTAACAGAGATCTGCCTGTCTCAGCCTCCCAAATGCTGGAATTGAAGGTGTGCCACCACCTGGCAAAGTCCCAGTTCCTCAGCCTGGGTGCTGTATTAGAGCCTTTTGATCTCAGCCTGTTCATTACTTAGAGTCCCAGGGAGCTTCTTGGTATCCTGGCAAGCATGTAGACCCTAGAGCTGGGTGGACTTGTGTTTAAGGCAGGTCCCATCTATGCCAGCTTATACTTGGTGCTTTTAGATCAGTTACCCTGAGCAAGTCTTGTCTCTGTTTCACTGTGTGGATACCTGAGGTCACTCCTAAGGCCTTCTGATAGCAAGGGGAACCATAGTTTTCTGTATCTTCAATTACTGTGTTCCTTATAATGGTCCATTTTTGTGTTTCTCTTCCCATATTTATGTTGTTATGACACTCCCTGTCCTGAATTTCTTATTAAATTTTCATTCTGGAATTTTAAAATCTTTGTTGTACATAATCCTCATGTGGAGATCCTTTAGTGTCATATACCAGTAGTTATATATTGTTATTCCCTCAGTTGCAGTATCCACAAGTAAACTATAATAATTTCACTGAATTTCAGACAGTATCAGAATGTTTTTAAGTTCATGAAACCAGCAAAAAACGAAGCTATGCTGAATAAGAATTTAGATATGCAGGTATTCTGCTTGCAACCCTGATAGTAACATCTTCACAGGGTCACAAGTGAGCTTTCATTTATTTATTTTTAAAGATTGACTCTCATGCAGTCCAGACTGGCCTTGAACTTGAAATGTAGCTGAGAGTGACCCTGAACTTCTGATTCTCTTGTCTCCACCTTCTAAGTGCTGAGGCTGGAGGCATCCACACTCAGTATATATGATGCATGGATGAAACGCAAGCCCTCATGCATGCTGGGAGAGCACACCACCAACTGAACTTCATCCCCAGCACTGATGTTTTGTTCTTGGAAGGTACCTGGAATGATGACTTGAGTGTTTGGAAACTGTAAATTATCACCTTGCATTTTAGAATATTTTTCACATCTTCTTTTGACAGTCCTAACTCACAACATTCTTATGTAAATTTTAGAAGTGATGAGTACATTTGAATGTAAGACCAAATTTTACAATTTTTTAAAGGATGTTTTTAATTTCCAGTGCGCAGAGAAATTGATACTCTTAATGAACGCTTAGCTGGTGAAGGACAAGCTATCGATGGGGCAGAATTGAGTAAGGGCCAGCTCAAAACAAAAGGTAAAATAAATGCTTGTAAACTTATTGCTTGTAGATTACTTATCAAGGGAACTGGGATTTAATGAAGGATACTGACTCATATACTCACTGCTATCAGCCAAACTTGGAGTACTTAATTCAGATATAGGTCAGATGATAAAGAGCTTGGGTCCCTCTTCCAGTTCTGCTGTTGTCCCTGTGACATGGTGGGTACATAGATCTGAATTTTCCTTTCTACAACATAGTTGTACTTTACAATGCAGTGGTTATTGAGTTTAAGGGTATATGATTGTTTTCTCTGTTTCCACAGCCAGTCACAGTACCAGTCAGCTTTCTCAGAAGCTAAAGACCACCTACAAGGCTTCCACCAGCAAGGTATGCAAGGCACTGGCTCTCGAGCCAGTCATGTGGTGTTTACGGTGTGCAGATGTGTACTTTAACTTACATATTTTCCAGTTAGAAATGTGTAATAGAAAAATGTCTGGTTTCTAAAACAACCATTGCTAAATGGCTACAGTATATAGATGCTTAGATACTTAGATACTAACTTTAGTGAGATCAATGTATTGTACATTATTAATTTTTGTCTTAGAAGAATAATATATTTTGTATTGTTAATTGGCTTGTTGAAAATATATGGATTCGGTTGGATAGACAATAGATAACTATATGGAGTGAAATTCTTTCTGGGCTAAAGTTACATTTTCATTATTATTTTTCAATTTTCTAAGTATGAGAAGGAAGTGGGGGAGTGCTTCTGAGGCATGTAGGGACAGTCAAGGAGTTTCCTTTTATAATGCCTAGTGCTGACTTGAAGTGGCAAGGATTTAATTGTTGGAAAGTTATTGTATAATAGTATTTTGAGGTAATATTCTATATCTCTAATTTGGAGTATATTGACTATGTAAAAGATAAATTAATTACATAACTTTGTTGAATGTACACTCTTTGGGTTGAATGTGAGGGGAAAAATAGAAGTTTGTGCTATGATTATGTATTACCAGCTTTTAATTTTTCATTGTATTGGGCTGGCAGTCATTTATTTGGCAGGAATAATGAGGTTAAGAGGAGAACTCTAGCCTTTCTGCTTTTTCTCCTTATTTAAAAATTCTTGGTAATCATTATTTAGGAGGGAACATGAATCTTGTTGACATTTTCTACTGTGTACTTTGATAACATCTGGAATATAAATGGCTGTTTCATTGGAGTTTTGTTTGTTGTAATGTCTAGTTTACCCTAGTTTTGAAATTTGTAATTAACTTCAGTCTGTTTTTTCAAAATGAAGTGTAAAATTATGTTCTTCACTTCTTGTTACATTATCTTGAATTAAATAGATGATTCTGATGCTTGCAATTCTGTGTATACAGTGTGTGGTTTTAGGATTCAAAACTTTGTGGTTATTTCTGAAATAGAGGAAGATATGCTTATATAGCAGTCTTTTACCATGAGCAATAAGAACAAGGTTTGGACAAAGGTAAGGACATACACAATAGTATTTTGTTTTAAAATATATTAGAACTATTTAACAGCAGTCATTTCAGGATTAGAATATGCCAGAAGCATATTCTTAATGGATTTTACTACAGTTTATACACTGTATGTACTCATCTTAAAATATAATGAAACACAAGACATCTGAAAATTCAAGAAATAATTTGGTAACAATATATTCTGATTTGTACCACAGCATGGATTCTTGATATTAAAGCTAAGCACGAATGCAACAAGAACATGCTACAGTCTAGATTCATTACTTGCCCTCCTTGTGACTCAGAGCCATGAAAGGCAAGTAGCATGTTTGGTGAGACAGCGGGAGCGCAGAAGTGTATGAAGTAAACCCTGAGAGGTTTTCCCTTCCCTGGGCTGCTCATGACTGATTGCTAATGCTTATGGGGTGGGGTCAGGGGAAGACAGTCTACCCTGAAAACTACTTTAAAGAAACCGGTGGAGATGTTTGCAAATATTCTTTAGAAAGTATTTTTTGTATTGGGAAAGGGCCTTTCTGATTCATAAAAGTACTTTAGGTTGGGTTGTGGTTAAAATGATTTAGAATGATGAGAAAACATCACACCATTGCTTTTTTGTAAAAATTGTGACAGGGGCTCTGTATGTTGTCCTGCCTGCCCTGGAACTCCCTATGTGGATGAGGTTGGCCTACAACTACCAGAGATCTCTTGCCTCTCTCTTGCCTCTGCCTTCTGAGTGTTGGCATTAAAGGCACGCACCACCATGCTTGGCTTAAGTCAGTGTTTGTTTGGTATTTAAGCATAATGAACATTATGGAAGTGACATGTGAGGAAGTCTGCCGCAGTATTCATGGAAAGCATATTATCCTGTTTCTGAACTATAAAGTTGTATTCCCATGGTAGTGCCTCTTCCATTCTACCCTGTGAATGGAATGGGTAAGAAATGTGGCTTAGTCGTTTCTTATAATAGCATTCTTTATAGTAGAAATGTTGAGAGATTTGGAAAATGAATTTTACCACAACTTAGGATGGTGGTGAGTTTTATTGATCTGTAACTTTTCTCTCTCTCTAAAATGTAATACTATTTGGCATTTTAGTAGTATTTTCTGTCAGCACAAGCTTACACACAATGTAGGAGGGATACTTCTGTTGATTTTAGGAGGGAGACTAGCTTTTAGAAAAGATGACAATAATGAGTTTGAGATTTGAACAAGTTATTTTCTATTTTATGTAAAATTTAAATCAAGTTAAATAGAATTGACTTACATTATTTGTAAAATTTTGGTCTCTTAACTAAGCATTTTGTTTTTGTCTTTACTGGTGGTGATAATCTGAAAGCACATACGTAATTAATGTAACAGATTGTGTCTGCATATGTTTATGTAAGAATAAATTTATATATATGTCCTAGGTTTTGCAGAATCATTGTTAAAAGCAAGCTGTATGAATCCATTAATTTTTTGTTTTCATTTTTTGCTTATAGATTCATTATTTTTTTCTGATTTTCTTAAAAGTTGAAATGTTTTCATTTATCTGAAGCAGCTTCGTGAACAAAGTTTAAAGCAGTCTTTGCATTTAGTTTCTTCCTTACTTTATAGTCTTCATTACAAGGGAAATGAGAATTGTTACATGTGTCATTATATAGACCCGTACCTTACTGTGTGTTCCTCATTGTCTGTATCATCTCATGTCTGTTTCCCATTAGAATATGAGCTTCTAAAAAGGCCTTTGTATCTCTCAGTGCTGACTCCATCCAGCATGGCACGTGGCTTTAAGCAAGTGCTCAATAAACAATCTTTAATAAACCTCCTCATCTGCTACAAGTGTGGTCATTTGATTCCTCTTACAGCATGGGCCTTTTTTGTTTTGATATATGGTTGGTATAAAATGATCAAATTCAGGAAAAAAAATGAAAGTTATTCTGTGAACACACACTTTAGTGTTAGTAGTTTGGGGTATTTTTTCTCAACTTTTTCATGTCTGTTTTTCTGTCTGGTCTCTGTCTCTCTGACTCTCTCTCTGTCTCTGTCTTTCTCTCATCTCTCTGTATGTATATGTGTGTTTTAAAGATGGAGAATTTTGTTTGAGATTTGGGGAAGAGTGGCTTGCAAGGCCCACCTGTGCCTTTCTTCTGCAGTGAGGCGTGACCTGCAGTGAGACATGACTCCTGTCCACTAATGGAGTGGGGAGAATTTTCTGAAGCCTCTGATTATGAGCTGAGTGAGAGCAGCCTTACTGTTTGAGGCTCTCAGTTCTGTTCATACCTGTATTATATTCCGTTAGTGTTTCCAGTATTCTGTTAAATTACATCTTTTTGCTGTTCTGTTTTTTTTTTTTTTTTTTTTAACTTAGAGAAATTTAAAAGTGCTTTTTTTCTTCTCAATTTAGATTGTTTCCAGCTTTAAGACTACCACATCAAGGGCCATCTGCCAGCTTGTGAAGGAGTATATTGGTCACAGGGATGGCATCTGGGATGTCAGTGTTGCAAGGACACAGCCTGTGGTTCTTGGGACAGCATCTGCTGGTGAGCTAGACACTGTTGCAGCTGGCTTATTAAGATGTGGCTTTGATTGATAACTTATGAAAATGACTTATGGTTAACAGTGGCAGAGCAGTTCCTGGAAACAAAATTGCTGGAATAGTTATTCAAACCAAAGCTTTTGGGTCTGGGTGTGGTAGTATATGTCAAAGTCCCAGCACTCGAGGTGGAGGCAGGAGGACCTCAAGCTTCAGGCCAACATAGGCTGTGATATAAAGTCCTGTCATTCTGTTTCTCAAACAAAAATGAAGTGAAAAGAAGGAAAAGAAATGGAAAAACGTTTGCCTTGGTGTGGGAGCACCCATTTCTCCTGAGACCTGTAGTCTTCCTTTGTAGTAGTCCTGTGGGTGATGTCACAGTCAAGGCTGGACTCCTGTTTTTGAGTTAGTAGATACTTGGCTTCAACTAAGTTATCTGAGAGTATCTGATTTGAATGGTAGAAACAGTATAGGTAGGATAGTTTTTAAATGTTAGATACTGTTTTTTTTTTTTTTTTTTTTTTTTTTTTTTTGATTGGCTTTGTTCCTATTTAGATGTGCTTCTGACTTGGAGACAGTTTTGTCATTTTTCTTGCAGCAATGAAGGGGAAAGGTTATGCTAGCAACTAAAAAATGCATATTCTTTAGACTGTTGAGTTGTTCAGGAGGCTGCTCTTTGGGGTCACTGGGTAGGTCTCACCACTAACATGATAATTTATGAAAGCTCAGATTAGTCTAACATACTACCTCTTCAGATATAGCTGATTGACTGTTGAAAATGACTTTCTTAGCTGTGAGAAGTTATTTTCGGTTTGAATGTATTAGTTAAAAAGAAGGGGGGGGTGACTTCTAATATTTCTGAAATTTCCTGTGGATCAGTGGCTACTATTTCTTCTTAGATTCTTTAATTCTCTTTCCCTTTTTAATGCTTGTGGGAGGAAAAGGTCCAAAGGAATAGCCATTATTTCATATAATTTAACTGAATTTGGAGGCTAATTGAATTTGAGAATTATAAGATGTTCTGCAAAGCCCTAATGCTAGGATAAAATAATGGGACTATGATGTAAATGAATAATGTATGCCAGTCACACATGATGGCCTTGGTGTAATGGTCCACTAGGATAGCAAGTCCAGTTGTCCTTTTTCCAGTTCTGTGGCTTCGGACACGTCTCAGCATTTTCCTTAGGATAATTGAATTGTACAAAGCAGTAGAATCAAAGTTGCAAGAGCTGTTTGGGTACTGGAGCAATGACTCCGTTAAGAGCATTGACTGTTTCTCCAGAGACCCAAGATTGAGTTTTGATTTTCAGGACCCACATGGTGCCTCACTGGATCCACCCAATGGATCCAGTACCCTCTTCTGTCCTTCAAGGATACTGCATACATAGACATATGTGCAGGCAAAAATGCCCATGTACATAAAATAAAACTAAATTAAAAATACCTGTTAGGGTGATGTGGCTTACCATTTTTGGATATTATTGTATATTTAAAGAGATTATAAAGTTAGTGATGGCTAAGTTATGACTTGTTCGTCTTGTAGATCACACGGCTTTGTTGTGGAGCATAGAGACTGGCAAATGTCTTGTCAAATATGCTGGCCATGTGGGCTCAGGTAAGCATTTTTCTAAAAGAGCACAGTAATCAGAAGCTGTGTTTTTCTGGTTCCTTTTAAAATTTCTCATAATACCAACTATATTAGTAAAAAGTTTTATACTTGATATAGAATTTTAATATTTTGGTGGTTAGTGGACAATGTAATGTAGTCAGACTGGATAAACTGTTCTTTACCTTGTATGATTAATAAAGGGGAAAAGTTTAATGCCTAAGCATTGCTACACATTAGTCTACATTGTATAACTTTATAATTATTATAAACCATGTGTTAGAGATTAATGAGAGATTAATCAGGCTATGGCTTTGTGTTTTATATATTTTATAGTAGCTCTCTTCTGCCTCTTCACTTATACATGGGTATTAACAATGTTTTGATCAAGTTTCATTCTTATACTTTTCTCCCAAACATTTGTAAACTTCTTCCATTTAGAATGTCTTTATCCAGTCTGCCCTCCTTCTCATTCTCCTCCTTGGCTAGCTACCACTCCTCCCTTAGTTTCCAAGATAGCCTTGTTATTTGGCACTTAGATTCATGAGCACACTTAGATGCAAGCGCACCCATGTGATTTTTCTTATCACTGTGCCTGTGGCCATCTTAAAAATTCATAGAAAACAACAGAATAAAGGCTAGAGTGGAATGCGAATTTAATGATGAGACAGTCTCCATCTGAAGAAAATGGGATTTAAAGGGCCTCACTTTTTATTTATTTATTTATTTACATGTCGATCCCAGTCCCCTCTCCCTCCCTCCCTCCTTCTTTACCTCCCTCCCTCTTACCCTCTCTGCCCCCTCACATGCACCCTAACCACTCTCCCCTCCCATCCCCCCACCCCAATTCCACATGTAGGGCAATGCCATCCTGGTGGGGTCATGTAGATCTGACAGGCCATTTGAAGTAGGGGCTAGGACTTCTCTCCTGTCTCTAGGTTAAGGCAGTATCTCTCCATGGGGGGGGGGTGTCCGCAAAGTCCTTTTGTGTACCAGGAATATATTCTGGTTCCACTGTCCTAGGTCCCTTAGACTGCTCAGTCCTTCTAGCTGAGACCCATATTCAGGGGGGGCTGAGTCAGTCCCATGCTGGATTCCCAGCTATCAGTCTTGGGGCCCGTTAGCTCCTCCTTGTTCAGGTCAGTTGTCTCTATGTGTTTCTGCAACCTGGTCTTGTTCTCTCCCTCTGCATCTTGATTCTAGTTTGACTCAATGTTTAGGTATGGGTGTTTGCTTCTGTTTCCAACAGCTACTAGATGAGGGCTCCATGATGGTGGATAAGTTAGTTGTTGATCTCATAAATGCCGGGAGGGGCATTTATGGTAGCCTTTCTATGGTTGCTCAAATTGTTCGTTGGCGGCAGTCTTGTAGGTCCCTAGACCTTTCTTTAGGTTCAGTTTTTCTCTTCAAACCAGTAATGGCTCTTTTTATGTTCTCTCTCTCTCTCTCTCTCTCTCTCTCTCTCTCTCTCTTTCTCTCTCTTGTCTTCTATTCCTACCCTGACTCAATCTTCCTAGTCGTTTTCCTCTCTTCTCCTCTTTCTCCTACTTCTCTCTCCATTCATTGCCCCTCCCCCAATTGCCATGTGCTCTGAGGGACTTGTCCCTTCCCCCTTCTGTGAGGGACTATATGGATTTTTAGACCTAGAGCAAAGGATCACCAGCCTGTAATTCACATCGCCAGAGGAATTAGGATACAAGGTGTATTCTAAGAGATTCATATAAAGGGCCTCACTTTTGAAAGAGTCTTTTTTTTTTTTGTATGTAAGATCTGCACTGATTCCTGTTTTGAGTTTTTTGTCCCTAGATTCATTCCATTCCTTTGGTATTTATATAGAGTGGAAGTCTCTTTTGTTTTTGGGGGTCAGCTTTAGATGGACTCCTGCATGTCTGTTAAAAACACAATAATTCCTCCAATGGAGAATTCTCCAATGGAGAAAAGGTGACAGTTTGTAGCCAAAGAGGGATACTGTGTCTCTTGAGAATATCTCCATTTACATTGGAGTTCAGCTTAGTCTCACATTTATAGACTCAACATCTCCTTTAGCTTGTGCAAAGCCACATCCATGGGGGGAATCCTCATTTAACTCAGTACCTTCCTGACCATCTTGGTAAGTAAGGCTAGGGCTCTGAATTGTAGATCCCCAACTCTTCTCTTTCTTAACACCTTTTCTCCCTTGGCTGTTCTTGCTTCTACTTGTCTCTTTCTTACTAGTCTTCTTTTTTAGTTTATAAATACAGTGCTCAGAATATATTACTAGGGACTCAAAAATATAAAATTTTATGTGTATTATTTTCTCCTGAAAAATCTATATACACCATATATGACTGCTACCGAAATATCAGAAGAGGGTGTTGGATTTCTTGGAACTAGAGTTACAGCAGGTGTAAGCAGCCATATAGATGCTGGGAGCTGAACCTGAATTCTGTATAAGAACAGTAAGAGTTCTTAATCACTGACCCATCTTCCCAGCCCCTTTGCCCTTATTTTTAAAATACATTTGCTTATTTTTAGCATTATAGCTTATATTTATTACTAAAAAATAACAATTTTCACCAATATTTCTATATTATTTGTATTTCAGTATTGAAAGTAAATAGAATCCTCTCTTTTTAACTGTAATTTATTAGTAAAACATAATTCTAAAGGCATAGCTAACAAAATTGCACTAATGGATAATTTTTTGAAGTTTAGTAGAATTTCCACAAAATATATAATTTTTTTTTCCCTGAGTCAGGGACTTGAAGTTTGGTTACTCTTAGGGTGAGTTGAGTTCAGCTCCCTGGTCAGACTGATGGTAGTTTTAGTCCATGCTAAAACTTAGGATTTCTTTAGGAAAAGTCCTAGGTAGATTGGCCTATAATCTTTTTTTAGTAACTGACTAGTTCCATTAAACTGGGTTCATCCTTGTTTTCTTGCTGGCTATAGATAGTTCATCTGAATACAAGGAAGGAAGGAGGAAGGGATAGTGGGTACTGGGAGTCTAGTCTTTCCTTATGCTTCTTTATTAAGAAAATGAAAGCTTCCTAAGAAAAAATTTGCCAGTCGGGCAGTGGTGACACATGCCTTAAATCCCAGAACTTAGGAGAGGCAGGCGGATCTCTATGAGTCGAGGCCAGCCTGGTTGACAAGTGACACGAAGAAACCCTGTCTCAAAAAAATAATTAAAAAAAAAAGAAGAAGAAGAAAACATTTGCCAAAGCTTACCTTTGAGTATTCTGAATTTGGATAAGAAAATGAGAGGACAGTGACCTAATCTCCATTTGAGTATGGTTGGAATTCATTTCTGGGGTTTCATTGTCATGGAATAGATCAGGGTTTTTGCAGTCTTCACACTACAGTTTGCTTTTGCTTCGTGTCATAAGCTCATTTTCTTTGTTTTTCTTTATTTGATTTATTTTAACTCTAAATTACTTGCCTGTTTATAAAAGTAGATTGTTAATCTTTCTTTTGTGTCTGTCATTTAGCAAGTTGGTTCATGCGTTGTTTTTTTTTTTAAATTATACCTCAGTTCTAACATATATTAATTCATATTTAATTGAATCAAAGGATCTAATACACTATTATAGTTTTTTAAATTTACAGTAACCTTGTAATACAGTAGCTAATAAAAATTGATAACATGGTTTTGTTATCTTAAAACTGTTTTTGTAATATTTTTATTTTGCAGTAAATTCTATAAAATTTCATCCTTCAGAGCAGTTGGCTCTTACTGGTATGTTGATTTTTTTTTCTTTCTTGAATGAAATAATAATCTTAAAACAGCTATAAAATTTCTGTTAGACAATCTTTAGTAGACATTTTATGAATAATTTTCATTCCTTTCTAGGTAATTTGCTTAAGCTGCAGTAGCTTTGTACATCACATCTTGGACTGGCTTTTAAAACCTAGTTTAATTTGCTGCTTTTTTAAGGTGGCCTTTTATACTGAGTATTATTTCTACAAAATTGTCAGAAAGCTGTGGAGTTATATGTTTTGTGGTACAGCTGATAATCTTGGAGTGTATGCATTGGCTTGATGGGTCAGAGGTTGCCATGCTTTTGGAAAAGACCAGTAAGTAGGTATATTTGTCTCTGACAGACTGTATGATGCCTGTCCCTGCTCTGGTCTGTTTTTTTTTTTTTTTTTTTTTTTTTTTTAAGAGTGAAAATATGTCTTTTGTAGAAGGTGAAAAGACATGACTGTTCATTTACAAAAAAGGGGAAATGCCTGCCTGCACTTTTCCCATGGCCTGGATTCTGCTGAGCCCAGGATAGAGTATACACGTTGAAATGACAAGGGTGTTTTGTGCAGGTGGAAGGGTTTAAGAAGGAGCCCAGCATGAATACTTTTAGTGTGTGGCCTTGAATTGGTCAGAGACTTTTTACATGTGAGAGAGATATGGTGGGAAGGTTACTCTAAATCATTTCCCAGTCCTAGATGATCATAGCCAATATTTACCTCAACACATACCTGAGAAAGTGGGGAAGACACTGAAGGTTTATTGTGTGATTGGTAGAGAGGAAAGACACTAGATTAATGGAAGTTGGATATATCTAGATATAAATCAAAAGCTTAGAAAGGAGAGGTAAAACCTAGTGACATCTAAAAAAAGAGCTAATACCAGCTTTGAGACAGATAAAGGATCAAAGGAAATTATGTAGTGTTGAGAAACTGGCAAATTAGGTCAGTCAGTTGATTTTAGCCATAACAAATTCATGATCATGGTAACTTCTTTAGGTAAGTTTTGCAGCTGAGAGGAGAGCAGATGTAAAGCAGACCACTTTGGCAAGAGCTGAGAATATCACTCTGGAGTGCCTGTGTGGCTGTTCTTTGTCTTCCGTTCCTAATCAGTGCACTTTCTTCAAAACTTCTGCTAGAAAGAAGAGGAATAGGAAAGCAACACAAATGAGTAATGGTAATAGTAAAATAATAAGTAATACCAGGCATATTATAAAGTCCTAATAATAGTGAATAGATGGAAAAGTCATTCCCTTTCCTAAAACATCTCAGACTGTTATAGTCACAAGTGTAATGCAGTAGAATATTTATTATATAGATTAAAAATAAAATCTCTTAATTTTCTTCTTAACCTTCAAAGGTTTTCTAAGATGAAAGGGGAAATACTTTCTTAGTAATTGTAATCCTAATTTTGTATATGTGTTCTATTCTTATTAGCATGGTATAGTCTGAAATTGCTATTTAAATAAAACATTTACTTTACTAAATACCACTAAGTTAGAAAAGCATGATTGATGTTTGGCCACAGTGTAGGAAAGAACACATTTTATGCATGTTTTGCCCAGTGGGTAATCTTCCCCCATTTGTCTCTTCAGCTTCTGGAGATCAGACTGCTCATATTTGGAGATACGTGGTACAGCTTCCAACACCTCAGCCTGTGGCCGACACTAGTGTAAGCATGTTTAGTTACTCTGACAGTTTATTGTTGGTCTGCTCCTGTAGTAGGAGTCTGGATACTTGCAAATTTTAGAATAAGCTGATAGTATCTGGTATGGTTGGCTACATCTTAAATGATTAGTGTAGATGTGAACTGTGGCTTAATTAACCACCTCAGCAGACGCCAGCAACAGAGACATGAGTTATACTGCTGTGAGTAAAGGAACAGAACAAGGATGAGATAGAGGAGTATTATCAGAGCACTGGAGTTCTCTCTTAAGCACCAGAAAATGGAACTGCCTGGCTGTGAATATGTGTCAGGACAGGGGAATAAGGATCTGAAAGTGATTTGGAAATTGCTAAGGCTGTCACTCCTACCACAGGCCTGAGGTTGACTTTTCCTTGTTTTCAAAGGGTGGGCGTCTTAGTTTTTATTCTTCCTGCCTTGCCTCTCTGCTTCATTCCCCCACCCCCCCCCAAAAAAAAAAAAAAAAAAAAAAAAAAAACAGACATGATTTCATTGTAACCCAACCCAAGCTGGCCTTGAATTTGCATTCTTCCTCAACTTCCCTAGAGCTGTGATTATAAGCATGTGTCAGTATATATGGCCTCTTTGGCTTTGGCCATGGGGATTGGGGGATAGGGTGCCACAGCCGAGTGCCATAGCAGGGGTGGGGCTGCCCAGATAATTGTCATGGTGAGGAAGCTATTAGTGGTTCTAAAAGGTAAAGAGTGGAGCCTAAGAAGATTTATTGTTGAGACTTAAGATCTAATGGAATTTGCTTTGCTAGATTTGGGGTTTGTTGAAACCTTTTTTATTTCCTCTTTTTCTTTTGCTTCCTTTTTGAATAGAATTGCTTGTACTGTACTTCTCCAGTATTGTGTTTTGGATAAATATAACTTGTTTGTTTTCTGTGGTCTATAGCTAGTTGAGAATTTTGCCTGAGGATAAATTGTACTTTGATTCTCATGCAGACCTCCCAACTTAGATGGTATTTTGTTAAGACTGTACTTTAGACTTTAGTGTTAATGTTGGAATGAGTTGATGTTTTGGGATAGAATAAATATTTTCCAGTGCAAGAAGGCCCAGGGTTAGAATATTATGGATTGGATATTTATGTCACTCACAGTTGGTATGCTAATCTGGCTTTAGTTGGAGGTAATATCTTTAAGAAAGTAGTTCTTGTTAAATGAGACCATAGGGTAGGGTAGGGCACTGGTCTAATAATATTAGTGTCCTTAAGACACCAGAGGGACTGTTTTCTCTTCTCGCCGTTGTGTGAAAGGCAGCTGTTTGTCATGCAGAAAAAGCCTTTCCACCAGAAAGTTAACTGGTTGGTTCACTTCATCATGGACTTCTGCTCTCCAGAATTAACTAATGGCATTTCCCCTTCTAAAACATGAGGTTTCAGAGCCTTTTTTGAGCCTTTCTTGTGTGGCCTTTCCAGTGGAACACATTTTAACATTACACCTGGCTCAAACTTTGCACATAGTCTTGACACCCAGACCCTTTCCTCTGTGTTGCTTTTCTGAAGAGGTGGCTCCATCCCACATCTAGGTGTTTATTTCTTCTCTCTCCTCTCTCTTTTTAATTGTGTTCTCTGTTGTAGGTCAGGAATTCAGCAGTTAACACACCTGTCATGAAGTTTGGAATTCTCTGTGACACACTCTTACGTCTACCTGCTCTTTTCTAGCTACTCCATGAAATCTTAAGGATTCAGTTGTTCAATCTTTTCTGTGTCCCTGGGAAACTGTTATGTAGCATACAAGAGGGATATCCACTGATTTTTTCCCCATGGACCACCATTGGGCATAATTACCTAGGAATTGCAAGACAGACAAGACAATGTGTCAGTTTTCATAGTCCATATTTTGCTGGAGCCATGTTGATCACCTAGTCAGAGAGATTCTTGTCTGCAGAGCCCTTCAGAAGTATGCAGCAGCACAGGTACAGAGGTGCTATACTCCTTGGGTGCAGGCGTGGGAGCTGAGAAGCCTCATGACAAGGAGCCAGGGCCTTCTGAACAGTTTTATGAGTAACAGCAGAGACAGGAGGCATCTAGACACAGGTCAGAGCTACAGCACTGCTGCAATATTTCCATCAGGCATTTCCTGTGATTGTAGCAGCCCTTCCTGTCTTGGTATGTTTATCTGCCAGGAGTCATTTTTCTCTTGAATAGCATAGGTTGGGAATGAAGCTCTCATCTCATGCAGAAGATAAAGGTTTTGCTGGCCTTTTACCTTTCCACAGATTTCCTGGCTCTCAATTTCTTTAACCAGTTAAATTTAATCTAGTGGTTGTGTACTATAGCTCCTTTTCCATAGTTCATCAGGAGTCATATTTCTAGAATAATGGACATGCTAATAGCTCAGATAACTTCCCCTTTGCCCTTGAGATGAAGTCCTTTCTTTCCAGAGCTTCACTTACTCATCTCTTGTTGTTTGCTTTTGAAATGACCTCACTGTTTAACTCTGGATGGCCTTGCCCTTATGGTAGCCCTGCCTCAGCCTTCATAGTGCAGGGATTATAGGCATGAGCTATTATATTATATTCCTGGATTATAGGGTCTGTTCTGGCTTCCCTTTGCAAACCTATCTAGGCTTAGTTTTTATACTCCTCTGCATCAGCCCATACTGAAAAAACAACTATGCTTACTTAGAGCTTTATAGTAACCGCATTCTTAACTTTCTCAGGCTGCACCTGTCTTTGCCAAGCTCCCCTTCCTTCACATGTCACTCACATGTGGCTTCTTTGAAGAATTACACTACCCTCTGTACTCTTAGCAGATTTTAGCATAGTCTGATAATCCCTTGTCATCACCAGAGTTCTATTTCCTCTCTTCCTGATGTTTCTGCAGTGCTTCCTTCTGTCCTTAGAATGGCTCTTACCATCAGCATACCTTTCTCGCAGAGCCCATCTAGAACTACTACCTTCCTGATTTTCCTTCCCACACCAACATCTTCAGAAGTGTTCTGTGAATTCATTTTTCCCTCTTGAGTCATACTCTGTCTAGTTTAGTGTTCCTACAACTGCTGTTCCTCATTGTCTTTGTGGTTACTCTCCAAGGCTACTTTTTGGGATTCTAACAGATAGCCTTTCCTCCTGTTTCTCTCTTCCCTTAAATCTTGTTGGGTGGCTCTGTAATGCTCTACCTACTGGTCTAAGTGTGAGTCCAAAGCTCATCTATTGTTCTTCTATACTAACTAGCCCTAATTGGTATCACTCAGCATCTATGGCTTTAGGGACCACCTGTTACTGTGAGTCTCAAAATTTGCATACTGACTTTTTTCTTAACTCCAGATTTTTGTTGTCATCTAATTACTTAGTATCTTCCTTGGGTGTCCTGTATTTGCTACTGAGTTTCTGGATATTCCTTCTAACCTGCTACTTTTATTCTCTTGTTCATCTCAGTTTGTACTGTTGTCATTCACTTAATAGTTTGGACCATATACCTTTAAATTGTCTTCAAATTGTGTGTGTGTGTGTGTGTGTGTGTGTGTGTGTGTGTGTGTGTAATCTATGTGGAAATCTGTTGGCAAATTCTGAAACTTTCCTGAGAGGATATGTTAATCAGCCTTTCTTCTCACCTTCATTATTACTACTACCCACATGTAGATTTCTCTTTCCTGTAGTTACTTTTACCCTGGTGCCTTCCTGGGACTGGTGGCTTCAGCATCAAATTTATGTTATCACAGTCTGTAGACTAGAAGTCTGAGAGCAAGGTAGCAAAGGATTAGTTTATTCTGAGGCCTAGGTCCTTGGCTAGCAGGTGTTCACCTTTTTACTGTGCCCTCACATGATCTTTCCCTTGTATATGTGTCTGTTGTAATTTTGTATGCAGTATGAAGTCATGATAGACCAGATCCTACATCCAGCCTGATTGTAATTTAATTGCCTTTTAAGGGTCTTTTCCTTAAGAGGTTCACATTTTGAGGTTAGGGCTTCAGCATATGAGTTTGTGGGTGGTACAGTCTAGTGCATTCACCCTCCTTTCCTTTTCTGTGTTTAGCAGTTAATCTAGGTCATATCATGCCTCTGTTTAGTAGTGATGATTTTGCCACCACATGCAGAATAGCACAGAGTCCTTTCTATGACCTACCATGTTTTCCATGACATCACCTGATACATTGTCCCCCATCTCCATCTCTGTGTCCCTCCACACATTAGCAAGCCTAATTGTGCAGCAGAAAAAGGATTCTATACTTGTTCCTTCTGCCCGGAATGCTGTTTCTTCAGTATCTTCTCTTCTATCCTCTTCTTCTATCCTCTTCTTACTTTCTTCATAGCACTCACTGCTACCTGATTGTATATCCCATGCATTCCATGCCCTGTGAATGCAGATGACACAGATGACATACTTCCTTGTGTATTTCGTTCATGTGTTGTATTCTCATCCTAGTGTGTACATGCACATGACATTCATTCTAGTCCACTAGTCCACATGTGAGTTTTGTGAGTGTGTGCAGTCTTTCCTGTAGGACAGGAACTTTGCCACTTGTGTTTATGCTGGCATTCTCATCATTTAGAGTATGCATCATCTTCTGTATGGCAGATGTCCTTTGTCTTCTCCTCTGCTATATAAATAGCATTGTCTGGCTATCAATATTTATTGACTGACTAAACATTTTCTAAACAGCATATAGACTGTTACAGTTTTACATTATCTTACTTTTAATAAAAGATTTCATTGATACAAGAACAGTGGAATTTTAAGTTATAATTTAGAAGTTTTTAAAGTATTTTAAATAGGCTCCTAATAATTAAAATGCTTTTTTTGTATTGTGACATATTATTGACTTTTTATGTATTTAATTTCATATTATATTTCTAATAAGTGGTAAAAATGAAAATAAGTTGCTTTGTCATTTTATTAATTAGTGAAAAGTGAATTTTAGTTCTTTTGATGCCATAGTGGCTTTAATATTTTCCAGGATATTTGCCTTCCTTTCTATAATCAAGCCTTAACATTAAGAAAGCATTCCTTGAATACCAGTTACATACCAGAATTTGTAATTGCATTGGCCCTAATGGTACTAAATATAGAAAGATAAATGGTGTAGCTGTGTTAGAAGAAACTCAAGATTCCTACAAAGTCTTTCTTTTCTGATTTTTATCCTTAGCAACAAATTTCTGGGGAAGATGAAATAGAGTGCTCTGATAAAGATGAGCCTGACATTGATGGAGACGTGTCCAGTGACTGCCCTACTGTCCGAGTCCCGCTGACATCTCTCAAAAGCCATCAGGGTGTGGTTATTGCTGCTGACTGGCTGGTTGGTGGGAAGCAGGTGGTGACAGCCTCATGGGACAGGACTGCCAACCTGTATGATGTGGAGACATCTGAACTTGTTCATTCTCTGACAGGTATCTTGCCGCGAACATCTGAAATTCTTCTTAGCTGGGCTGATTTTATGTCTGAGCTTACAAATTACTTCCGGGCCAGGATTTGGTTTAGTGTGCTATTGGCTATTTGGTTGTCATTTTTGGAGATCCTTTATGATTAATAGAACTCTTTGTAGCTAAATTTATTTTATCTTCAGCATATTAGCTGTAGCACGTAGTATTTTAATATTTGAAATATGATTGCTGTATTGGTTTTCTGTTTCTCTTTGACAAATTCTTTTTTTTTTTTAAAGCACACTTAAATAGCAGGAATCTATTACCTTGATGATTTCCTTGTCAGGTGTTCTATGTCCAACATAGTTGTTTCTCAGCTATGAGGGTCTGCTTGGTTGAAGAGAAGGTGTGGCTTGGGCAGAACCTCTGGGACTTGTAGTCTTCTTCTGTGCTCATTGGTTGCTGGAAAAATCCATCCAGTGTCTTGTAGCTATGTGACTGGGGCTATACCTTCTTACTAATGGTCAGTTAGGGTCTGTCCTGAGCATTCAGGGCACCCACCAAAGGCCTCTTCCCACATAGCAGGTTGCTGGCTTTCCGGCCAGCAGGAGCATGCCTCTGCTGCCCTGGATTCTCTAGCTTCTGGGAGGACCTCAGCTTTTTGAATGGTTCTAGCTGTTTAGACCTGGCCACTGAAGACAGCCTTTCATTGATTAACACAAAGATAACTGATTTAGGGACCTTAATAAATATGTGGAATTCTCTTTGGTATATTGTATATCCCATTTATAGAAGATGTATTTACAGGTTCTCCCCAATTGTAAGACAGGATGTTGTACTAAGGGTTCACAAACTATACCATTAGAAGTTATTCTTGTTAATTCAGCCTCTTTGTCAGACCTTGTAATTATTAGGACCAGAGACAGAGTTATGATATATATAGTTCCCTACTCTTAGTTTTAAATGTGGATTGCTGAAATGATTTCAGGTGTCTGAGGGGACAGCCTCCCATACCACTAAGTAATTCTGTAAGGTTTACTTTTCCATCAGCTATTAGTGGTGTCTGGTAAAGATGATGAATATTTTTTTTTTATTTAATTTTATATAACAAAGTCCAATTAAATGAAAGCAAACATTTATACACAATATTTGGGAATTTGGGCGTCGTTCTTTCCAAACTACTTCCTGCTGGTAAGGGGCGATGTCATGGGGGATTCGAAGAAGATTTAGATATCCTGGCTATAGTCTGTAGGGCTGTTTTGTCGATGATGGATATTTTTGATTCTTGTGTTTTTATAAAAGCTTCACTCTAATTGTGTGTCTGCAGGTGGATGACCTTGTATTTTTGTTGTATTTGGTTGTAGGGCATGACCAGGAGTTAACACACTGTTGCACTCACCCCACCCAGCGGCTCGTGGTGACCTCTTCCCGTGACACAACTTTCCGTCTTTGGGATTTCAGGGACCCTTCCATCCACTCCGTGAATGTTTTCCAAGGACACACGGAGTGAGTTGCAGTTGTTTAGAGATCTTAACTATCTATGAAAAAGGTTTTATAGATTACCATTGAAACTTAAGTCTAATCTTATTTTCTACTGTTTAAAAACTTAGCTCTTTTTCATAATGATGGCTCTTTCTCTAAACATTTTGGTACGTCTTTCAAAAGATTAAGAAGGCTCTAATGGTCTCAAGAAATTGAATGGGATAGAATCTGGCAGAGGCTGGGAGTGGGTAGCTTAGTAAAGGAAGAATTTAGAAGTACCCAGGCATGAGTAGTGGGAGCATACCCCTATTATCCATCAAGGGGCCTGATCTAAGCTGTCCACAGCTACTTACAAATTATTGTAATATGTCTTTTTAAAACTAATTGATTAGCAAATTAGATTAATTTAGATTAGCAAACAAAGTATTGGATTTAATAATGGCATCGTCATACCCATGTGTCATTATACTTTGTTCTCTACTGTTCCTCTCTCCTTATCTGATTCCTTTCTCCCATTTTGCCCTCTTTCTTAGTTAGGGTTTCTATTGCTTGAAGACACATCATGACCATGGCAACTCTTATGAAGTAAAACATTTAATTGGGGCTGGCTTACAGTTCAGAGGTTTAGCTCATTATCATTATGGTGGGAAGCAAGGTGGCATGTAGACAGACATAGTGCTGGAGAAGGAGCTGAGAGTTCTATATCTGTACCCGAAGGTAGCAGGAGAGATCTATTACACTGGGTGTGGCTTGAGTATATGTGAGACCTCAAAGCCCACCTCCACAGTGACACACTTCTCCAACAAGGACTCATCTACTGTAACAAGACCACACCTCCTAATAGTGCCACTTCCTGTAGGTCAAGCATTGAAACACATGCATCTATAGGGGCCATACCTGTTCAAACCACCACATCCTCCTTATGCTTTCTTTTTACACATATTCCACTAATTTCTCTATTTTCCATTTCCTTTATCTACTTCTAAGCCCTCTCATGGCTCCTTTCTAGTTTTGTGACTTCCTAGCACATAGATAGACACCATGTTGTATCTTAAAGTATTTGTTATTATGTGTATTTGCAGGGCATACACTGGGAGGGTTTTTTTCTGCCTGTGTATGTATACATTCAGATCATCAGTCTAATATGTATTCCCCTCTGCTTGAATTTCTATCAGACAAGTTCAGCATGAGACTGTCTTAATAGAGTTCTTCCACAAACTACTTTTTTAGTCTTTTCAGTAAACAAGGAGATTGTCTATCTAGTTCCTCATGTTACAGATTAAGGTAGTTTCTGTCATGACTCTTCCTGGAAAGTTACATTTTTCAGTTTAGAGTTACTAAACTGGAATGGTGTTATTTTGAGATATGTGACTATCTTATTCCCCAGCAGCCTTTCATCATTGATGATCCCTGCCAACTTAGGCAGTACAAGAATGTTGCAAAAGGGTCAGGTTTCTAATTCTGATCTTCTCTTAACCTTCACCAGCTAGCCCTTTTGAGAATACAGATTTCTGATCATGCTTGTGCTTTTGATAGTCATTCTAATTTTGGCTCTTGGTGCCACTGTAGGCAATTGAATCTTCCAGTTGTCCTCTGGTCTCTAGACATTGCTATTGTTTTTCTACAATAGCATGATGTCCTAGGTTAGAAAATCCTCTAGTTGGGATCTCCTCTAGTTGGTTCTGCTAACCTGTATTGGAGCAAGCAAATTTATCAGGTTTGAGATGGGCCAAGAAGAAAGTTTGTTTTCAGAGAGCAAGCACTGTACTTGTGATAAGGTAGAGCAGATGAGGTCATAAGGAGACCAGCCAGCTTGTCCTTACCATGTTTGCAAGGACAGAAAGGAATTTGTGGGGGACTGGTGAAGGCTGAAGCATTGTGTCCAAAGAAAGCAACATATGGCCAGAGTTTTACAAGTCCTTGGGTGTGCCTGGTCAGGTGTAGTTATAATTCCCAGGTTGGACTTGATGTTCCCAGCTTGGACAGGCATCATCTCTATTCTAGAAAGAGTGAACCATGAGCAAGCCAGGAGGCTGCCTGGCTTCAGTGGAGTTTAACTCTTAAGGGAATGATCAAGTGTAGCCTCTCCTGGTGTCCCCAGCTTGCCTTATGGCAGCATTTAAAGACTTAAAATTGGCACTCTGTTCATTTGAAAAATTTTTATTTGTGTTTCATGCTTTGAGAGGAGAATGTGTTTGTATTACTGGTAGCTGATGGAGGTGCATGTTAACAGCTTTTAAGGATGTTTCAATGGTAGGTTGTTGCTAATTTATATCCCTTTAGCTAAAAAGTGTAGTGAATGCTAATATGGTGTTTACAATATATAATTAGTGATACCTTTTTTTCTTTTGCATCTGGCTATTCCATGAAATAACAATTGTTTTAGAAATGTTTTAGGAACATAACTGGTTGCGACCCCCTCCCCTCTCAAATATACCCTCTTTTTGAGGCAAAGTCTTACTATATAGCTGCGGTTCTCCTGTAACTTATTTTGTAGACTAGGCTAGCCTCAAACTTACAGAGATCCACCTGCTCCTGCCTCTACTTCCAAAGGTCAAAGGCATGTGCTATCACATCTAGCCTAAGGAGCCCTTATTTTTAATATAGACTGACGAATATTTAAAAGGTTGGTTGAGTCCTCTTCCAACTACTTCCCCTCTTTTGAGACAGAGTCTCTCTGCATAGCTCTGGCTGTTCTGGAACTCACTGTGTGGATCAGAGTGGATTCAAATTCAAAGATCTACCAGCTTTTGCTGAATGCTTTTGTTTTTTTAAAATAGGGACCAAGAGTATAAATACATCTAATTCACATGAGCCCTCTCTCCCACCCAGCTTTTGTAAGATGTAAGATAGTTGTTAGATTGCCTTTAACCATAGAATAAGTGAAAGTTTTAATGAGAATAAAATATATGAATTAAGCTTATTCTTGCCCAGATCATTTTTGTTTTATCTTTTCTTAATAGATTAGTCCTGAACTAGCATGTTACATTGATGTGTATATCTAAAAAGCATTGAAATATTTTTCTTTGATACTAATTTCTTTGCTCTATCAAAAAGGATAAGTTTTAATTTTTAAGGCCTTTCTTCTGCCTCTAAATTTCATGTAGTTGGCTCAGTAGTCAAGAGGTGTGATTTTTGACACCCACATAGTAGCTCACAACAGTCTAACTCTAGTGCTGGGGGACCCCAAAGCCCTCTTCTGGCCTCCTCAGGTACCAGGCACACAAGTGATAAACAGACACATGTGCAGGGAAAGCACCCATATACATAAAACTAAATTAAAGTTAAAAGAAAAGGAATTCTTAAAACAAGAGTGGCTGAGCTTAAAAAGTATTCTCTGGCCTTTCTCATGTAGGTTTAGGACTTGGTCAGCAGATGGAGCTATAGATATCTTTATTGAACACAAAGTATTTCTAGTAATGATCAGCAGTAAGCCTTTAGGAACACTTCACATATAGAAAAACAAGAAATGAGACATTTAATATGTTTTATCTGAGGAATCTTCATAGTGACTGTTGCCTTTTACCTTTGTCATGGATTCAGAGAATTTGAGCCCATATGACAAAATAGCAGCTTATAATAAATGCGTATAGATGTACATCTGTGCTTCATAAAGGACATGTTTTTATTAATAGCAAACTTGATTTAATTCCTCATTAAGAGCAGAAGAACAGTCAGGGTTTGCAGTGTGTGTTCTCTTTAATCATTAATTTGCTGTTCTGAATGTGACTTAAGGAAATGAGCCCTGGCTCTCTTTATCATTCTGGTGGGTTCACAGGGCTCTGCAGGCTGAAAGTCTTGATGCCTCACACTAGCATCCTCTGAATGAGTACATGGTAAGGGGCTTTTAGAAGCTCATGGAGACTACAGTACTATCTAGCAAAGATGGTTTTCTGGAGGCTTCAATACATTTTTTTCCTAAATGCTACATAAAACTCAAGATTCTCAGCTTTTATGTTAATTTTCTTACTGTTGTATCTCTAAAAATCTGAATATGAGGATATTTAGTGAAATCTTTTTCTTAGAAAAAGACAGTATTTCTACAGAAGCCTTTCTTTCATATTTCATATAAACATGATATACAACTCTATTTTGAAAGTTGTATTTTAGTATACACCTTTAACCCCAGCACTCGGGAGGCAGAGGCAGGCGAATCTCCATGAGTTTGAGGCCAGCCTGGTCTACAGAGCTAGTTCCAGGACAAGCTCCAAAATAATGCAGAGAAACCCTGACTTGAAAAACCAAAAGAAAAAAAATATAAAGGGAGGAAAGAAAGTTTTAGTTCATGTTTTCATTTATGAGAACTCAGTATAAATTTTTTTATTTATTTTATTTTACTTATTTATTTATTTTCAAGACAGGGTTTCTCTTTGTAGCTCTGGCTGTCCTAGAACTCTGTAGATCAGGCTGGCCTTGAACTTGTAGGAATCTGCCTGCTTCTGCCTCCCTGAGTGCTGAGATTAAAGGTGAGCACCACCATGCCTGACTGCATGAATTCTTTGTTAAAGAACCAATGTCTTTAATGTGCACAGTTGACAATTTTGAGTTAATCTGAATTTCTGTATCTTGGATTTTCTTAAGTCAAGATATATAGTTATATAAGCATCAAAATTATTAGCTCATTTTTGTGATCCATTTTCTCAAGGAGTTGAGAGAAATTCCCCACCCCCCCTTTTTGTTTGCTCTTTTTGTTATACCTGTACTTTTACATGGCTTTGGTGCCTTTTTGAAAAACTAGGGTTTGAGATATAATGCTTCTCTGTAAGATTAAAAAAAAATAGTCAAAGGTTCCTTGAAATTTGTACTGTCATTATGTTTGCTGGATGTAGACAGAGCTCCTTGATGTCAGCTGTGCTTAAGGCTTTTACTTTTATCACACATTTTTAGAAAGGACTAATAAGCCCTTTTCGTTTTTGATGTGTTGCATTGATTTTCTCCCTGTATTATGACATCCCTTCATTATAATAGGAATTCTACCATATTAGTATTTATTGAATGTAATAGTACATCTGTTACTGGATCAG